TCAAGTGCACATGTGTATGTGACATGCCCTGCTTGAACAGGTGCTCAATAAATCCAAGTTTCCTTCTCCTGAGTTCCTCTTGATGATTGATTTATTATATTCAGCGTCTACCTGAATGTGAACTTGTCAAGCACTGGGATGTATCTTTTTCTTCTGAGAACCGTAAGCACAGAGTCCATGAGTTCAGCTCACATGCCGAATGAACAAGGGAGTGAATGTGTGTGCTTGACTGAGTTATTCCAGGGCCATTCATTAGCCTGCCCTTCACTGAAACAGCCCTGGATGTTAGGCTATGGAAGCAGCCATTTAGATGTGCACATTTATGTGGGATTACAGTGGAGAGCTGGTGAAGCAAGACAGAAAGTTCTAGCAGGACCTGTCCTGCTAAACTGCGTCCAGAGGCCGAATGATTCACCCATGGTCTCAAAGATGTACTCTTCCTGCATTTGTTCTTGACTGACCACTTGACTGACCGATTGATCGATCCATTGATTGATTCATCCATCCATCTGTCCATTCACCACTGACAGACTAAGGCAGTGGATGTTTATCAAGAACTTCCCTTGTGTGAACCCCTGTTCTGGATGCTTCTAATTGATTTAGAAACCTGGAACATAAGTTTGATGTTTCCATGGGTGGAGAAGTATTATTTCAATGATTTTAAAATGAAATCTGATATCTGTTCCTTGTGATCCAACAGCCGGTGCTGATTCTGGGGCTCATGGGTGTCAGGGGTCTGAGGGAAGCCATTCCTGACAGTGAAGAATGAGATAGCCTCCCTCTCAGTCTTTTTCACATTTACCATCTCAGTCAGTTCTCACAACCATTGAAGACTCAGGGGCATTACTCTAATACCCTTTTTATTTAAAGAAACCATCTCAGGGACCTTGGAAATACTCTCATCCAGTGACTCTTAATGGTTTTTTTTGACCATGACCCACAGTGAGAGGTATAATTTCTTAGTGACTCAGTACATGCATACATATATAAAGTAAGGGTTTTGAAATAAAATATCTACCTGATCAAGGACAATGCCCTCAAACATTTACTATTCTATTTCAGGTTTATTGCTGTTGTATGAAATAGACTGTTTTATTTACAGTGCTTTTAGATTTACAGCAAAATTAAGAAGGAAGGTACAGATTTTCAAGTGCTCCCTGCCCCCTCCCCCATATACACAGTATCTATCCCACACCCACCCACCTTCCAAATCCTACACCCCCAGTGGTAGCTTTGTTACAGCTGATGAATCTACATTGACCTATCGCAATCACTCAGCATCCATAGTTTACATGAAGGTTCACTCTCGCTGTTACACACTCTGTGGATTTGGACTAATGGATACTGTAATGCCACCATTATAGGATCATACAGAAGAGTTTCACTGCCCCAAAAAGTCTCTGTGCTCTGCCTCTTCATCCTTCTCTTCTCCCCTAACCTCTGGCAATTGCTGATCTTTAAAAATAGTCTCCATAGTTGTGTCATTTCCAAAATGTCACCTAGTTGGCATCATACAGCCTTTTCAATTTAGCTTCTTTCACTTAGTATTTTGCATTTCATTTCCTTTATGGCTCTTCTTGGCTTAATAGCCCATTTTTTAAGTGCTGAATAATATTGCATTGCCTGGAAGTTTCAGGGTTTGCCCATTTACCTACTGAAGGGCACTCTGCCTGCTTCCGAGTTTTGACAGTTACGAATAAAGATGCTATAAACATGTGTGTGCAGGTTTTTGTGTGCATGTAATTTTTCAGCTCCTTTGGGCAAACACCAAGAAGCACAACTGCTAGATTACATGGTTAGAGTGTGTTTAGTTTTGTAAGAAACTGCCAAAGTAGTGTTCCAGATAGCTGCATCCTTTTCTATTCCCACCAGCAGCGAGTATCTGTTGCTCCACGTTCTCACCTGCATTAGCGCAGTTAGTGTTTGGGATCTTGGTCATTCTAACAGGTTGTCGTGGTATCTCACTGTTGCTTCCATTAGCAATCCCCAATAGCAAATTTTAATTTTTCAAATTTTTCCATTCAAATATCTTCTTTGGTGAAGTATATGTTAAGATATTTTGCCCATTTAAAGAAGTGTTATCTGATTTTTATTTTTGAGTAGCAAGAATTTTCTGTATATTTTGAATAACGGTTCTTTGTCAGAAACCTGGCAGTCACTGGGCCTGAGGTTCCCCATCAATGGTACAGGGTAAGGTGTTCACCTGCCAGGTGGGACCAGAGCTCAGCAGTGTGAGCTGGGCAGAAAACCAACCTAAACATGTTACATGGAAATAATGGCCTTTCATTCTGAGAATGAAGTCTCTTTAATTTTTAGAGTTTAAAATGAGTCATATTGTAAGAAATAATAGAGAAAGAGAATGTGGTATGTGTGTGTGGTGGGGGTAATATTTACTTGTTTATTTTTTATATTCTTGACAAAATAAAGATCTGGCTCACCTACCTTATATAGTTCCCAATAATTATTATTTTTTAAGTACCAGTTCATAATTCCCACACCTGGGAATGGATATCTGGTGTAACCCAAATCCTTATTCCCACCCCGCCACTCCACAAAAGGGAAAAATAAGGTTCAGAAAGAAAGAGTAGTTTTCCCAAAATTGTAAGTGTGGAGCCCAGTATTTGGATACAAGGGCTCATTTCACTTCTCTGGTGAGTCCCTGATATGCCTGATGGTAAAAATTCATGGGGGAGCTTTGCTTCTAACAGTATAAATTCTAAGGAACTGCTCCAGAACCACTGAATCAGAGTCTCTGGGGGATGGTATGGAATAATCAGTGTTTGAAGTCTCCCCAGCAGATTTTAGAAATCTCTGCCCTCCCCACACTTCCTTTGCTGTCTCCTTCCCAGCCTAAGTACCATGAAGGTCTCCTGCTGCTCAGTTTTCCAGAGTCCCATCTATTTCAACCCAAACCTTAGGGCTCAGAGTTTAGGTAAACCCAGAACTTGGCAAGACTCAGATGTCCTGACAGATTTTAAGATCTTCAAAGATGGGATGCTTCATCCTCACTGCTGTGAGCCTGGAAAGATGCTGTCCTGGGTTGGGTAGAGAGATAATGCATTCAAGTGTCCCAGAAAGTTTAGCTGAAACCTGCAGTGACCAGCACTTTCCAGCCAGCCCTTCCAACTTGCTTTCTGCCAACTGCTACAGTCTGAGGGTCCACTCTGCAAACCCCTTTTTTCTTAGAACGCAATGGGGAGGGTGCAGAAAGAGTTGATTCTGTGTTTTAGAGAAACTTAGCACCCAGTACAGTAGATGCTCAATAAATACACAGCAGATATTCAGTAAGTAATGGATGAGACCGGGGTTTCCCAAAGACCTCCGGGGTGTGGTTTAGAATACTTGGGCCCACATGGGGTTTCTCCCATATGGGGTGGGTCATCCAAGCTCACTCCTCTTCCAGCTGGAGGAATGGGAATGAGCAGAATCCTGACAAATTGGCCTTGGCTCAGGGATCACTTTGTCCTCTGCACAGGGCAGCTGTGAGCTTTCTTGTTGGGGGCAGGTTGGAGACCCTCTGATGAGCAGCCCTGGATTCTGTGGGCTAGGACTTGGAAGAACGTCCCCAGCTTGAGTGGAGCCAGGCTGCAGTGCTGGGTGACCCCTGTTCATTTGTCAATTTGCCACCCTCTGGCCCTAAGAACTGCCCAGCAGCTTGGCTTTAGTGTGGCAGCCCATCCCCTTGCTGCCCAATGCACTCGAGCTGCTCAAAACTGAGACTTCAAAGGAATAACCAAGCAACCTCGGTTTCCTCCTCCAGCAAATGAAATCAACAACATGAATCCACAGGATCTGGGTGAGGATTACATTTCTAAAGAGTAGGGCAAAAGAAACCATCCTTCACAAGAGTCTCTTTACCATCCTTTTTTTTTTTTTTTTTTGAGACAGAGTTTCGCTCTTGTTACCCAGGCTGGAGTGCAATGGCGCAATCTCGGCTCACCGCAACCTCCGCTTCCTGGGTTCAGGCAATTCTCCTGCCTCAGCCTCCTGAGTAGCTGGGATTACAGGCACGTGCCACCATGCCCAGCTAATTTTTTGTATTTTTAGTAGAGACGGGGTTTCACCATGTTGACCAGGATGGTCTCGATCTCTTGACCTCGTGATCCACCCGCCTCGGCCTCCCAAAGTGCTGGGATTACAGGCTTGAGCCACTGCGCCCGGCCTCTTTGCCATCCTTTAAGAACAATTGGGTCAACTTTGCTCATTTGTTTACTTTAATTCAGGGAAAGGAGCCCTTCTTTTTAAAACAATGGTTGCTTACATATGTTTCAAAGCATGTTCCCTTAAGCTTTATCATTTATTCCTTGCAACACAACTGTGATGGGCCAGACATAGCTCTTTGCCCCTCCATGCATTAGGAAACTGCGTCACATAGGTGGGCAATTTGCCAATCTCCTGTCTCCCAGTCCCTGGAGAACGTCCCCACATCCCTGCACCGTAACACATGACACAGAAGCAGGCTCTGAGCCAGCAGACAGCAGCCTCACTCTGGGTCGCCTTTGTCTGTGTCCCACCTGGACCCTCCTGGCGAGGTGCAGAGGGCTGACTCCAAACCTGTGTTTTTTATAAATGTTCTCCAGGACAAAGGAGAAACTGTTAAATCATTAAAAGCAGGGAGCATGTATTTCTGGCTGCATCTTTGACGTGGTTGGGGAGATGCTATTTTAGGGGAATCATTTTGTTTCTCCTCCTTCTCTTTTCTTACCAATTGTGAACAGTTGTCTTCAGGTTGCTTTGATGGTGCTATTTTGTGAAGCCAGGGTTATGAGGGTACTGTATGTGGTTGAAGATAGTGGATTATTTGTGAGGCTGGCCTGAAGGTTCATTTGGGAAGAGAGGGAATGTGGGGTAAGCGATGTATCTGTTCTCCAGATACTTGAGGCCTGAACGGGCACATAAAATGAAGCAATACCAGACACAGACATTTCCAGGCCTTCTAATTCCCCATTTCTACAACCATTCCTCCTAAGGCGTTCTTGGCTATTGTCTTCAATACTTACAATCCTGATGTGTGGGAAAGAAGGAGAGAGAATGAGGCAGGCTAGCCTTGTTCTGAGAGGTGTCCTTGGCTAAGAGGCCTCACCCTGACAACTTGACCTTTGGCTGCGTAATTAGCCAGGATCCTTTGTGCGCAGCAGGACAAGCTGTTGCCATGGAGACATTTGCGACTTTGTTTGGCCTGGTCTCACCTTGGTTCCCTTCTAGAATGCCCCCTGTTGTCAGTGAAGAATAGAGAAGTTGGCAGGGATGACAGAGTTCCCTGCCACTCAGAGCGGGGCTATTCTCCATGGTCGGAGTGGGTGGGGCAGGTGGGCAAAGGACAGTCCTTCACTCTCAGCAAACATGGGCCAGGTGCTGGGTGATACCACAGTGAACAGGATACAGGCCAATTCTCAAGGAGCTCACAGTCTAGGAGACTGGTCTATAATTAACTCTCAAAGAGTGTTTCTGGGCAACATGTACAGAGACAGACACACGTGGAAAAGAGCCTGGTAATTGAATTTAATTAGAGCTCTACATCAAATGTATAGGTATTATAGAAGACTCCACAGTACGAATAAAGATGATATTGTCTGCCAGCGAGTGTGCCCACTGCATGCCTGGGACCTTGCACACTTTCTCTCACCACTGGGGAACAGGTGCTTTTAGCCCCCTCTTCATAGGGAAGGACATGGCAGCAAGAGAGAGGGAGGACTGCCCCCCATCAAATCCTGCTAGAAAGGCCTGGCCTCTCCCACCCGACCGTCCTGTGCAACTGGATGTAGGGCAAGGCTGAACTGTGTTTCAGAACTCTCTTCATCTTATTCAGCAAACGTGGAGTACTTCCTTTCTGTGAGACTCCACCCTGGGACCCCTTGGCTCAGTTTTTCAGAATTTTGTTTTGAGGGCACAAGAGTTGCCTGATTTTCATGTAAACCTGTTGAGATGAATCCTTTCAGGACATACAGGGGGCCTGCAGAAGGTAAAATGCACCTCCTCTCAGAAGGGATATATTTAAGGAATTTGATCCCACAGAAGGCATCGGGACACACAACCCCACTTAACTCCCTGGCCTGCCACAACAGCACAACAAGAGGTTCTGAGGGCCATGAGAAGGAATTTAGACCCAAATAGGTACAGTGGAGAATGCTGAGTGGACTTAAGCCACGACACACAAAGAACTGTGATCTTCCACTTGGAAAAGTGAACATCAGATGCCTCACAGCTGAATTTGGACACCTGAAGGGAGAACCCAGGAAAGGAGTGGATGAATAAGGTTTTAGGAGATGATGGTTCTCAGGGTGATGTTCATGAAAACATTTGGTCAGAAAGGTCTAGAGACGGTGGGCACGGCCATGAAGGATCTGAGCCCCCACCGCAAGAGGTCTTCAAGCAGAAAATGTTCCAGGCCCTGCAGGGGCTCAGGACACACCCTTAAATGGGGTCAGCCTAGGGATAATGCACTAACTTTTGGGGATTCATAGTTTGAAGTTTTTTGGGAGGATAATGAGAAGAGCATTCAGGGTACCTGGTGGTTACCCAGAGAAACATGGTAAAGAAACAGGTCACACAGCTTGTGTCAAAGAGAATCTTTTAGGTCACAGTTGGGTAGCAGCGGGGGTGGGATGGGGAGAAAAGAGAAGTGATAATGATGAATCATCTTCTACAGGGCAGATATTGGCCTAGACACTGTGCAAAAACTGCTTCATGTGGCCCTCAGGGCCAGCATCTAAGGCAGGAATGGATGCCTCTGCATTTGAAAGATGAAGCACTCAAGACTCAAAAGTCATCGCTCCCCAGGTCCAGTCACAGAGGAGTGCAGAGATCAAAGAAGAGCCTGGCTGCTCTCTCTCTTTCTCCTGGGTGGTGGGGTTGCCCAGAGCTCCAGGTGAAAAAGTTAGCAGGTGCCACTGGAATGCAAATCAGGAATTGCTTCTGCTTCCAAGATAAGACACCAGGAGATGAGAAGGACAGAGGCCCAGCACCAGCCACGCTCCAAGGGGACTTGTACTAACCTCTACCCACTGGAATTGAGGCGAGGGATGGGAAGACACAGGCGGGGCTGTCATCATCCCAGGGCCTGGGTGGAGGGGAACAAGCCTCTGATATTGCCAAGTCTGACACTGTTCTGATGACAACCAGGAGCAGCCAGACCCTATGTCGGGGACAGACAGATCATCCATAGGGCCAGCCTGCTGAGACTCCTAAGTAGCCACAGCTCCCTGAAAGAAATTAAGAGAGACAACAGAGAAATGAATCCCAAGCCCAAGAATGTTGAAGCTGTAAGGAGGCTTGGAGACCATTCTATAGTTGAAACCATTAAAGGTTCAGAAAGGGAAAACCACTTGGCCAAGGTGAAACAGGAAGGTGCCCTCAGACCCCAGGTGCTGCCATGTCCAAGAAACACTGTGACCATCTTTTTAATTCAACACCTTTATTTTTGCCTTAACTTATATTTGACTACTTCTTGAGGCATAATATCTATGTATTTTTAAATCATGTGATAAAATGAAAATAAAATGATTACACTGAAAAATATGTTTATCCATGTCCACAGTGGGCTATGAACTCAGGCAGATGCCACTGGAAAGAGCATTGTGTGGTAAAGAATCAGACAGAACCGGTGTCTAGTCAATTACTAGTCTCCAGAAAAAGGCACCTGACTTCTCTGCCTGCAAGCGGGGAGAGGTAATCCTAACCCCCAAGGGTTTTAGTGAGGCTTATCAGAGACAATGTAAAGAACATAATTTAAAGTCCAGACAAGATCAATAAAGTGTGCTGTGCTGAGCCAGGACAGTGCCTGAGGCAATGAAAGAAACTGGCAATGCTGATTCTTTACTTAAAATTTGGTGTCTTGTTCATCATGGATTTTTTGCATTGATTCTGATTTTTTAAAAATACTACATTGGGTCAAGCATGGTGGCTTATGCCTGTAATCTCAGCACTTTGGGAGGGTGAGGTGAGAGGACTGCTTGAGCCTAGGAATTTTGGCCCAGCCTGACCAACATAGCAAGATCCCATATCTACAAAAAATAAAAAAATTAGCTAGGCCTAGTGGTGCCTGCCTGTGGGTCCCAGCTATGAGGGAAGCTGAGGTGGGAGGATCACTTGAGTCCAGGAGGCAGGTATGGTAAGCTATGATCATGCCATTGCACTGCAGCCTGGATGACAGAGCAAGACACTGTCTCAAAATAATAATATTAATAAGATGACACTGGCTGTGCAGTGGCTCACGCCTGTAATCCCAACACTTTGGGAGGCTGAGGTGGGTGGATTATGAGATCAGAAGTTCGAGACCAGCCTGGCCAATATGGTGAAATCTCATCTCTACTAAAAAAAAAAAAATACAAAAATTAGCCAGGCATAGTGGCATGCACCTGTAGTCCCAGCTACTGGAGAGCTGAGGCAGAAGAATCGCTTGAACCCAGGAGACTAAGGTTGTAGTGAGCTCAGATCACACCATTGCACTCCAGCCTGGGCAACAAAGCAAGATTCTGACTCAAAAATAATAAATAAATAAATAAGATGGCACACCCTAGTGCAACAGGGAGGCAGCTCCTAGGGTGCCCCTTCCATTCTTCTGCAAGGTCCTAGGCTGGAGGGTGCCCAGCATGGCTGCCTTAGGGGCTGCTTCAACTAAAGAATCTGCAGGAGTTAAGACTGAGCCCCAGGGACAGAACTGGCTTTCACTGGAGTCTCTCCAGCTCCCAGGGGAGAGGGTCTACCTTCATAATCTAACTCATCTCCACCTGGGTTCCAACCACCTTCAGGAGCTTCCCCAGCAATGGTCTCCTTGGGGAGACTTGAGCATCTTACCCTCCCTAACAGCTGCCTGCAGTCTCTGCCCCCTGAGCTGGGGCCCTGAGCGGAGGCCTTGAACAGCCTCCCTGAACTGCTGCCAGCTGTGGGCGTGCTCAGAAAACACTGGACCTTCTAGTCTGCTGACCCCTGGAAAGAAAAGGTGGCAACCTACAGACGGATTGTTCAGCTTCTGTGGTCCTGTTTTCAATCCTGTATCCTGAAAGCCCAAGCCTTAACTGCCTTTGGTTCTCTGGGCCTCAGCTGCAGAGGCCCAGCCACTTACTCAGTGGTGGGAGGAATTTCCCAGCTGGAGCAGTTTTCTCCTGGGAGGGAAGCCCTGAGTGGCCCACTCCCCACACGTGGTCTGCCCTGTGTCTCATTCCTTCACTGCAGAACTAAATGAGATTCAGAATGCATTTCTTATTAGCTGGAAGCTACTCGATTAGTCATTTATTTAATTACTTATTTTTAAGTCTAAGCCTGTTAGCACAGTTAACTGAGTTTCTTAGCCCTCTGGAAGAAACCAGGCTCTTTGTGTGATTGGGTGTATGCTTTTCGCGGGTTTTCTCCATTTAGCATCCATTTTTTTTGTGGCCTCTGGTTAGGAAGCCTCCTAAAGGTGGTCATTAACAGGCACATTCTCTGTATCTGGAATGTTCAAGCAATTGATGATCTTCTTGCACATACACCCCATGGGACTGAGTGACAGAGATGGGGCTTCCTCCCCATCTGGGGTTGGTTTCAGCCCCCTTTCCTCTGACACCCACCTAAGGAGCTGAGTTCCTCCAAACTCTAGATTACAGCAATACCCTGGTTTCCTTCTGTGCATTTTCTGAGCATGCCTACACCCGGAATTGGAAGCTGCAGGTGGTGAGTTGTGCACCCAGCTTCTCCTTCCATGCCTGTCTCCATCTGGTCTCTGAATGGCCTGACAGGCATTCATGGTCCATCCTCAGCTGCCTCTCCAGAACCAACTCCATGATTTACACCTCCAAGTCCTTTATAGCCACACCCAAGGATCTTCAGTTCCCTCAATGCCATGCCATTCCCTGCAAAGCTGTCCTTCTGCCAGGACATCTTCCCAGGCCAACATTGTACCCTCTGCCCTAACTCACTGGCTCCCACCTGTCCTGAGGGTCGACTCAGCCTCTACCACTGCTGTGGGAGCTGTCCCCAGTGCAGTTAGACAGATGGTAAGCACATCTGCAGTAAGGCTCCGACTTCTGACTTGGAAGGACATGGGCTTTTCTTTCCCACTTTTCATGGTATGCTTTGGATAAGTTTCAAAAGCATCCTGATATGTTGATTTCCTCCTCTCTTAATGGTAGCAGACATAGTGTCTTCTTTATAAGATTGGAGGGATGTTTAAATATTCT